TGTCTACAGCAGTGCTACAGGCATGTTTGCTGACCTCATTTTCACTGATGTTATTACTCAGCTATCTCTAAGGCACAGTTTCTTCCACTATGATATTGGAGGGTGCTGCTCGTCTTATGCAATTATGTAAATTGTTAGTTGACAAATGTGCACCATCCAGCACAGCGCAGGTATGCAATAAAGAATGTTCCCTCTTTCTCCCTCCTTTCCCCCAGAGAGGCTGGAGTATGAAACAGAACCTGTCCTGACCCCCATCAGGGGTCTCTGTGTGATCCTAGCCTCATTTCTAGCTCTTGGCCTCAGTTTCCCCATCTGTGAAAGAAGCTTCTAGGCCAAGTGCTCTCTAAGTGTCCACGGCCATATCTGCTCCAGCCTGCCCCCACCCTCGTTCCCTCCTTCCTTCCCCATTTCCTACGCCATCTGCTCCTGATGTGACAGAACCTTTGGGAGCCTGAAGCAGGGTAGCGGGGGCAGGTGGTAGGCAAGGATCACCAGCCCTCAAGGAGCCCAGGGCCCAGTCCAGGCCCCCAAGGGTTAAGACCCATAGGCCCCCAAGGGTTAAGACCCAGAGTGAGGGGCGGGGGGGCCAGGGTCAGCGCTGGACAGGCGGGCCGAGAGCCCAGGGCCTGCCTCCCCTCCCCCTCCCCTGGGAACAGAGGCCACTTGTTTGGGCAGTGGCGGGTGGCTTTAAGCTCAGCCAAGGGAGAACGGGGTGGGAAGAAGAGAGGGCTCCGGAAAATGGAAGAGACTCCCCACATCCAGCCAATGCCCTAGGCCTGGTCTACCACTAGCCCCTGGTACTCTCCCAGCCCCTCTAAACTGACCCCCTCCTCTCTCTCTTTCTTTCATTCAAACACGCAATGCTAGAGACAGGACTTAGCAGATAAGCCTGACTATTGCCCCAGCACAGTCTCTCTTTGGGGAATGAGGCCAGGGCTGATCACCCCATCCTGCAGATGGGGAAATAGAGGCTCTGAGGAGTTTGAGAACTTGTAGAGTCACATAGTGATTGGTGGCTGCACAAGGACTCAGGGCCCCAGGTCCCAGTGAGCCCCATGGCTCTGCAGGGCCCGTCCCCCCCAAGCTCCAAAAAGACCTTTCCTAAGCTATGCCGTTAAACAGAGACTGGGCAGGAAGGAGGGGCAACAGCAGCCCATCTCTGAAACCTGAAGTCCCAAAGGACCTGGTGATTTGGATGGAGAGGAAGCTTCTAGAGAGATGGGAGGAGGGTTGACAGTTTGCACAAAAGGCTGAGGCTGGATGTGTGAAGCATGGCTGGAGCCCAGGTGGTGGGGGCATAAAGCTGGGGTTGAGTGGGGAGGCCTGAATGCAAAACAAAGCCTGGGGCAAACAGGGCCCTGGTGGCCTCTGCCCACCCCTCCCACCTCACCAGTCACTGGTACTGTGCGTGGGACACCCCCTGCCTAAACTACTTCAGTATGCAAGTAGCCAACGGGGAGGCAGGGTCCCCAGGCCTGGTCCTGACTATCCCCAGCCAGGTATGGGACATAGGATGAGTTCTCTCTACACCTATGCCAGCCGCACCCATCTTTCTGCCATTCCTCAAACACACCACCCAAATTCCTTACTTTGCACAAGCTATGCCCCCGCCTTTGGAGGGCCCTTATCCTTGTAAACTGCCACTTAACTGCCAAGCCCATTCCATTCATCCCCTCCCCCGGGGCCTGCACCCGTCCACACCTGCCTTCATGGCTCTGCTGGACTCCTACCCGGTGATGATCTTGCTGGGCGGTCTCTCCCAGCCTGGGAAAACAGGTATCACAAGTGCCTCAGTCTGGAACCCTGGGACCCACTAGAGAGTCAAATCCTTCCGAGTGCCCCCAGGTGTCTGATCCTGAAGCACCCCCCTCTCACCTATCTGGGATCAGGGAAGGCTCCCCAGGACATGGGATGTCGGGGAGGGGAATGCGTATATCAGAAACCACAGTGTGATGGCTCCTGGCCAGATTTCCCCTGCACCAAACACCCACCCCCCCCCCCCCACCCCCCCCCCCGACCCCCAGGCTGCACCCCAAGCCTGCTCTCTCCAGGCCCAACCACCCCACTCCCAGCGTGACCCCATTCCTTGAACACATACTTCCATTTACCAGCAACTGGGCCAGGTAGGGGCTCTTGGGAAGCCATGCCCCCATTTACTGGTGGGGAATTGAGGTGCAGAGACCGGAAGTAACCTGCCCAAGGTCACTGGAGCCCCGGGCCCAGGGCATTGGCTCGTACAGACCTCCAGAACGTAAAGGTCTCAGCGGCCAAAGAGGTGGGAGCCTTCACTTCACAGATGGGAACCCCAAGGCGCCCGAGGGCGGCTGGCTCCAGAGCCTGGGACCTTCACGCCAAAGGGCTACCGGCTGGAAGCCCCGGGTCCCATTGGTTCACCCTCCTCCCTACCGTCTCTGGCCAGCCCGCTCGTCCTCAGGAGGCGACCCCCACCACCACGACCAGAAAGGTAAACAGACAAGATGACCCGGGGAAGCAGACGCAGAGCGCGGCCTCGGCGTTCCGTTCTGCAGAATGGGGAAACTGTAGGCCACATGTGGCTAGGGGGCTGTAGACCGGGAGGCTCCGGCAGACGCACTGACCTGTTTTGAGCAAAGACTCCACGCGGGGACCTGGCGTTCCCGCACCGCCAGCGACTCACACCGCCGCCGCCAAATCGCAGCAAGGGGGCGGGCGCGCCCACCCCGCCGGGCGCTTCCGCCCGCCCCACGTGACTCCCCCGGAGAGACGGTGGGGCTGGGGCAGGGCAGGGCCCCGCCCCCTCCTCAGCCCCGCCCCTCGCCTAGTCACGGTCCTGGAGTCGGCTGGCCTGGCCCGCCTGTCGGTCTCTGTCACTCTCCTGCCCTTCAGGCTGCTTGCGGGTCCTCCGACTGTCTCCTGAGACATGTCTAACTCCCACCATCTCGCCCGCTGAGTCCATCTCTCCCTGAGTCTCCCTGCTCTCGCCGCCCCTCTTCTGGTGAGTGTCCCGACACGCACCCCATCCCCAAGGGGGCCACGCCCCCGGGGCATAGGGGGCCATTGAAGGCCGTCCGTGGTTCCTGGCCACCTCCTCCAGGAAGTCCTTCCTCCACCACATTCTTCAAGGGTATCTCACTTCCCTCCCTGGGTGCGCACAGATAGGGTTGTGGGGAAGCTACCCACCCAGCCACACCTCCCAAGGATCCCTCAGCGGAAGGCTACAGCCTGAGGCCTAGAGAACAGGAGACTCCCACCCATCCTCCCAGCACATACACAGATGAGGGCACCAGGCTTGGCAGCCATTTCTGGGTCCTATGTCCAGGACATCTCTGGGGCCAGCCACTAAAGAGATCTTAACTTCTCTGGGCTTCAACTTCTGCATAGGCGCAAAGGGTATATTTGGAAGAACAGATCTCCCATTGCGAGGCGAGGCGGGGCGGGGCGGTGGGGGGGGGGGGGGGGGGCGGTTAACCCCCTGAGAAGAGTAAAGTGTCGTTAGTTGGAGAACCTACTACATGCCAGTCCCAGTGCTGGGCAATTTATTCTTTTCATCTCAATCCTCACACTCTGCTTGAAGGCAAAAATTATCATCCCAGGTTATGGGTTAGGAAATAAGGCTCCAAGAAGTCTCAGGGCTTGCCCAAAGTTACAAAGCCAGTGCTGGGCAAAGTTGGGATGCAACCCATTTTGGTGAGTTCCAGAATCTCCTGGCTGCCCCCCACTGGCCACTCACCCTGTCCCTCTGGGAAAGAGTTCACTCTGAGTACACCATGTCTTCCAGTGGCAGGGTTAAGGCAAGGAGCTTTTGGGGAGGGGAGAACTGGGCCAGACCTTGGGAAGAACTTCCAGGTCCCAAGTTCATATGGAGTCAAAAACACTGCAGAGGAGCAGAGCACAGAGCCCTCCTCTGGACCTGGCAGCAGGGGTGTCCCTTGGGCAGCAGTGGGCACCTGGGAGCCACAGATCACTGGAGAGGCCTAGGCATCCCTCTTGACTTCAGAGCAGTGAGGTGCAGCATAGGGTGAGGGGGCTGGCATCTGACCACTGGCAAGGCGACGGGGAGTCTGGGGACTTCACCATTTCTGTTAACACAGTCCTGAGGTCTTCAAAATGACCTAGGGAGGGTGGGACTCACTGAGCCTGGTCCCCACCAACTGCACTGGAATCTGAGGCCCTTCTCCTACACCCCTGACCTCCTTCCTCCAGGGTATGCTGCCCCAACCTCAGCTCTGAGGCCCACAGCCCTGTGGCTTGAGACCCACTGACCCCTCCACCTCCCTTCCGGGATGACAGGAGAGTGTCAGACCCCGAGTCCATGGGTTGGACCCAAAGGGCCTTGGGCTTAAGGACACACAGTAGAACCTCACCCCCTGACTCTTGGCTCAGGGCCTCTGGCCAGGCCTGCTCCTTCCCTTAGAGCAAAGGTCCCCAATCCCTGGGCCACAGACTGGTACTGTCAGGAACCTGTTAGGAACCAGGCTGCACAGCAGGAGGTGAACAGGAGCTGAGTGATCATTGCCGCTTCTTGTTAGATCTGCAGCGGCACTGGATTCTCAGAGGAGTGAGAACGCTATTTTGAACTGTGCATGTGAGGCATCCAGGTTGTGCGCTCCTTATCAGACTCTAATGATAAATGTAATGCCCTTGAATCAACCCAAAACCAATCCTCCCCACATCCTGACCCATGGAAAATTTGTCTTCCACAAAACCTAGTCACTGGTGCCAAAAAGGTTGGGGACCTCTGCCTTAAAGGAGTGAAAAGAAAGCAAATAGCTTGGCATGAACGCCAAAATGATCACTCAACAAAGACAGCTGGATAGACATGGGCAGAGAATGGAACAGAGTATGGACAGGAGGAGGGCAGTGATAGATCCATCCCATCCCCACCTCACAAGGGGAAATGAGGAGATGCCCGAAGGATCAAAGGCCGGTGATCAATAACTTTAACAAAATTAAGGGCAGAAGCAGGGGACAGCAGCAGCGGCCGTGAGGCAGGTGGCAAGCAGGCACAGTGATGAGCCGGCTGAGGCTGTGGGATCGTTTATTGGGGCTCTGTCCAGCCAGGCTGCAGCGCCCACCTGGGCTCGGCCCAGTGCCACCAGGAGGCGCCGGGTGGGGGAGGGGAGAAAGCGCGGAAACCATCCGAGGGCTCGCCCGGTCCTGTCTCGGTCCCTGCATTGGTGCCACACTCAGGTGAGCGAGGTGTCGTCGTCACTGCCCTCGCCACCCGCACCGCCCATCCGCTCCTCTCGGCTCTCTGCCACCGCGCTCTCGTCGATGTTCTCCAGTGAGTCCGCATGCTGCACTGATAGCTCCGACAACGCCAGGCTGGGCAACGGGCTCTGCTCCGGGTGCAGCCAGGGCTTGAAGTGAGGCAGATGCTTCTGCTTCCATTCGGGGTACTTGAGGCACGCCTTATACATCTTCTTCATGGCCTGTGGGCCCACCACCCCGCCGGGTCAGGGGGTGGCCAGGGCGGTGGTCCAGGTCTTCTCCATGCCCCCTCCAGTGCCCTCTAGCAGCTCAGCCCCCAGCATCCTGACTCACTCCCTTTCAAAACTTCGCCCAGGCCTGGCGCGGTGGCTCAGGCCTGTAATCCCAGCACTCTGGGAGGCCACGGCGGGCGGATCACCTGAAGTTAGGAGTTCAAGACCAGCCTGACCAACAAGGTGAAAACCCGTCTCTACTAAAAATATAAAACTTAGCCGGGCATGGTGGCAGGCACCTGTGGTCCCAGCCACTCAGGAGGCTGAGACAGGAGAATTGCCTGAACCCAGGAGGTGGAGGTTGTAGTAAGCCGAGATCATGCCACT